CCGAGCCGGCCGCTGAGCCAACCGGACTCAGGAGGAAACCGGGAAGGGGTATCACGGGAGGTTCCAGATGTTGGACCCAGGAAGTGAAGGACCACCCCCCACCCCACCCACGTCCCCAGTCTCAACCCCACCTGTGGCTAGAGTCCTCAGTCCCCACAGCCTGGGGCATTTTCCGGGGCTGGTTTGATCCCTTTGAGTGGATTTTGGAGTATTCCCTTCATTTCTCCACTTCCAATGTGAGGGGCATCCCCAGAAACAGGGCTGTCACGTCCGCAGATCTAGCTTGTTTCAGGCCGGTTTAGGGAAGAAAAAGGTGCGCCCTGGGATGTGGTGGCAGTAGGGTGGGGGGGCTCTCCCCAGGTGGTGGGGATTCTGACCATTCACTCAATGAGTGGTGCCGGGCTGAGCAGTCACTCTGTCCTTCCATCCAGGAAGGAGGGCGCGGACCTGCCAGCCTGTAGCAGAGTTGCACAGAGGCTAAGGTCTGGGAGGTGTGCAACTCGTCTGGGGGACACTTGAGTGGGCGGGGGTGGGGGCACCTATGAGCCACTTCTAGTCGCTGTCTCATTTCCTGCTGCTAGACTTCGGTTCGCGATTTGGAAGGAATTGCTGTACCTCTGAAGTTGCATATTCCAAATCCTAACCGCTAGACCAACACCAGTCGCTGCGTTCGGGAAAAATGACAGTAGACATAGCTAATCGTATATGGCACTCACTTATATTCCCGCCCCTCTGGACAGCTAACAAAATTCTAATTCTTACAACCGGTCTATGAGGTAGATGTTATTAGGGCCATAGTTTATAAATAAGAAAACGAAGGTGTAGAGAATGTTTTCCCAAAGCTGTTAAGCGGTGTCTCCCAAACTGGCTTCGGCAATCGCTTTACTGAGCTGGTCCACGCTTAGGGATTCACGTGTCCTCACCCCCAGGACCGGATTCCTGGCACGAGAACTTCCCCATTGCCAAAGGAGAGCGCCAGTCCCCTGTTAACATCGACAGCAGATCAGCCAAACATGACCCGGCCCTGAAGCCTCTGAGCATTAATTATGAACAAGCGACTTCTCGGAAGATCCTGAACAATGGTCACTCTTTCAACGTGGAGTTTGATGACTCCCAGGACAAAGCAGGTCAGTGCTGCCTTTTATCCAGTCGCTGTTTGTTTCCCCAGCTTAGGGGGAGCAAAGCACCGGTAATACTTACTACCTTTGGTCCCAGTACTCTGAGGTGCCACTAGGGCTACCTTGATCAGTTTCCAGACTTTTGAGAAGTAGGCCAATTGCTTTGAAGTGGCCTGGGACAGCATTTCCCTTGTAAAATGCCTGGTTTCTAAGTGGGAGATGGGAAACGGAATATGGCTCTGTAATGTCACAAAAGACAAGGCTCTCTGGCAATAAAGTTCAGCAATGATGAAATTTGCGAATATTGATCTTTGAAGATTCTGTGTGTGTGTGTGTGTGTGTGTGTGTGTGTGTCTTGATGGAGTCTTGGTACTGCAGTAGTTACAGCTCTCAGCTGCTAACAGAAAGACTGGCCGTAGGAGCCTCCTCTCCGCTCTGTGGTAGAAAGAGGTGACAGGCTACTATGTCTAATAGCCTTGGATACCCTATGGAGCAGTTCTCTGCAGCTCTTAGTCAGAAGTGACACAATGACAGTAGCTGCTGAAATACTTCCCCATGGTGGTGGCTGTCTGATAAAGTACGTCTTATTTGGCCTTCAAGGTGGTAGTGAGGAAAACCTGACGATGGAAAATATTGGAATTCTCAGAAACTTTGTATGTGTGAATAGTCTCAGTTTGGGAGCAGTGTGATGGGGGCGGGGGGAGGGGAGGAGTGGTATAATTTATTTGTAATAAAGCTATTTACAGGATGTCCCCTGAATAGCTTCCCTTTTCTTATTTTGAAATAGGAGAATAGCCCCATTCAGACCAAGTAAGGGACTTCTTTGCCCACTTATTTCATTGCCAGTGCCCTATTTTCTCCCTAGCAGTGCTGGAAACACAGGCGTGTAGAGGCGGTGCTGGCGTGAGGGCAGTGGGAGGGAAATGCGAAAAGATAAAGAACCTGCGCAGCAGTGCTGCCAAAGTGTTGGTGTCTCGTTACTGTGTTAGAGCTCTCTTTATGATCAATAGACATGTGCTCTGCTCCTTTTCAGTATATATATGTTGAGGCGTCCTGGCACTGTTCAGTTAGCAGTGACTGCTAATCGCAAGGTCAGTGGTTCAAACCCACCAGCCACACCCCATGGGAAGTGAGGCTGTCAGGTCCCATAAAGATGTACCACACCTTGGAAACCCTATATAGGGTTGCTATGAGTTGGAATCTACTTGATGGCAGTGAGTTTCGGTTTGTGTATTTGGAGACCTCGGGGTGGGCAACCATTTATCACAGTCAGCTGCCAACCAAGGCAGGTTGGAGATTCCAGCGCACCTAGGAACCTTGGGAGAAAGGGCTGGCAGTTTACTTCCGGAAAAAAAAAAATTGGCTCTTGAAGCTCTAGGGGAGATAGTTTCCTTCTGACACAAAATTGACTTGACTGCAACTGGTTTATATAATATAATCAGTCCAACTTTGAGGGGGAAAAAAGTTGGGCATTTGACTTTCTGAAGCAAGGAGTCATGGGAGAATAATATGAAGGTAATCTGAGAAATGTTCTCAATCTACCTGTACCCTGCGTGCACGTTTCCCCCTTGACTTCTCTCTCTCTTTCAGCCTCTTGATTTATTAGGACCAGGTGGGTTGAGGCTGGGACCCCTTGAAATCTGCCACAATGCCGTTCCCAAGCATGGCTTTCAGCCCCAAGAAACATTGGTCAGATGATGTCAATTAAATCTGACGAAAACATTCCCGGAAAGACCACGACCTGTTTAGGTTATAAGACGCTAAAGTGAAGGGTCTTGGGTAGGGGTGTGCATATGGAAAGAAGGCTCTGAAACGCCATGTTTCTTTTAAAGCCCAAAGCAGTGAGTGAGTCTAGCCTGTAGCTATTAACAGTTTTTATGAATCACCGTGAATGTATACCGTGATGTTTGCCAGTAAAAATTGTGGGTTTTCAATCTATCTATTAAATTATATACCTCACTGGACTTCAGTATAAGCCGACCTGAGTATCAGCCGAGGCACCTAATTTTAGCACAAAAACTCCCTAAAAACTATGCTGAAAAATCCTGGCTTATCCAAGAGTATATACGGTAATTTGAAACATGGAAAAAAATGAACATTTAATGAATAGAAGCAGATGAGGTAATTCTTCACATTATTTACACATTTGATAATTTGTTCCAGATTACAGATTACTGGAAAATGTATTTCAGTGTATAGTCTGATGGGTACACATATATGCTAGAGTCTGACACATCTGGATGCAAATTCCAATTCGGCTACCAACGAGCCCAACTCTCCTTAGGAATTATCCTAATGTCATCTCTCTAAGTTCTCTTTCCTTGAGATGTTTGGAGGAGACGTCAGGCAAAGGGAAACAGAAGAGACTGAAGAGAGGACAGCATGTGCTTTAGATAGGCAAGCAGGTATTAGATATTAGACAGACTTACTTTCCTTTAACTTAAAAGGCTCCTTTGTAATTGTACCTATGCTGCTGATATTTTTGGTGGTTTTGGTTAAACAAGGTAGATTCTTGGCCCCAGCAAGGCAGAAAGATATCAAAATATTGACATTAAGGGGAATCATATCTACAGAATAAATAAAAACAGAAAAATTATACCATTGTTTGAAAACATCCATTAGTTTAAAAAAAAAGACTGAGCTGTTCAAAGCAAACCCTAATGGTAGATACTCTAGTCGAACCCACTTAAAATAAACATGAGGAAAGGAAAGCGGAGGTTTAAATAGCACGCTGGCTGGCTCAGCTCTACTTCGCTGCGGCAGGCCTAATAACAACCATTGACAACTAGCACTTAAGGAAGAATCATTGAATGATAACCGTGACTTCACGTTTTGTTTGACCATGCTGCATTTCAAAAAACCGATACACTTTTCTAGACACTTATATCTAGAAGTAAATTATGCATTTTTGTCTACTCAATTTATTTGAAATAAAATAGTTTTTTGTTAGGAGTTATTTTTATAATGTCAATATTTTAAGATATCCATTTCATCTTACTTCCTGCATTTAAATGCGTCACTTAATTTACTACCCCCGTCTCCCCCCACCCCCTGCCCCCTCTTGTGAAAGCCTAGCTTTCTGGAACCACTTCTCCTAGGGGTTTTCTAATATGTCCAGAATATCATAACCAATCTGACATATTCAGTGCCAAGAACTGACCAAGTTGAGGTTATTGCTACATTTAACTGGAAAGGACTGTAAATGTGGAATGAACTCCTTTAAAGTAGAAGCGCGAGCTAAAGTCCTCACCAATCTTCTGAGTTCCCATGAAAACAACCTCCTTAAAGTAATGAAAGATTGCTAATCCTCTTAGTTTTTTTTAATTGAAAAACAACTCTCCCTGCTCCAGGTCTTTTTAATATGCATTTTATCTGGGATAAAAAGTAGTCGAATCATTAACTTCTACCAGTATTTTATTAACTTTTATTAATGACTTGAAAACTTTCCTGCTTGTCATCAAGGTTAGGAGCAAATAACCCTGAAAACTAACACCCGCATTGATTGGACCAACATAGCTATAATAACTCTTCTCTCCCTTCATTTAAAGAATTATAAATTGGAATCATTTTGCGTGTTAATTTTAGAAAAGAGGAGGAAGGAAGCTACACGAGTTTCCTGGGCACATTTCAACTAGACCATTATGACAGACACCGTGGATCGTCAGACCTGGAGCCTGCTTAATTCTCAGGGCCTTGTGTTTGGCGTTTCGGATCTCTTTGCATGAGCAATCAGAAGTCTAAAGGAAACAGAGCAACCAATGCCCACGGTGGTGCTGAGCACAGTTGTAGTGCTGCCCTCCAAGTCCAAGGGAGAGTAGAGCTCACAGGCGTTCTCTAAAGCACAGTTTGTATCAAAGGCTTTTTAGTTCATTGTATGATATTCTTGTGTCTTTGCCGTCCAGCTGAAACCCACAGCTCCTCCTCTTGAATTTGGAGTATGTTTACCCTGATGTAAGTGGCAGGGAAGCCTCTCACTGTGTTAAAAGAAATGGAGCGTCAGTGTCTTTTCTCAGATTTGTCTAGCCTGGCACTCGCATTCTTAGCCGCAGTGCGTAGCCCTAGGATTGTCGCTGCTGCCCCAAAGCAACAGAGTAACGCACAGTTTCCATGCCTTCAAGTGCCTCATAGAGAAGATGGTTCAAACCCTGGAAATGCTGCGCTTTCAGTAGATCTGACTTATGTGCTTCGTTACTAGGAAATTGCTTAAATGTTAAGAGTTCCTTTGTATTGTGCCTTCAAGAGAGTTACTGGATGTTCAATAAGGTCTTGGGTTGGTCATTTGGATGTATTAAGTCGGTTAGGAGAGGAGGCTAAAACAGGATGGGAAACAACTTGGGAGACACATATTTTAAACATTGACTTTGCAGTTTTCAATTTATCTAAGTAGTCTGATTTATCTCACAATTTACTGTACTGAATCTACTGATTTTCACCAACAAAATATCATTGGTGTAATTTTCCTAAATGGTATGTGTAATAAGAGAGGTTATTCTGTGATAGCCTGTGCTTTTACATATATCTTATACAGTGTACAGTGTGTGTGGCCGATCTTGAAAATGAGTAGGCACTAGAGCTCTTAGTAGTACTGAGTTTTGAATTTACATTAAATTTTGGAAGTTTTGATAAAGACAATAGAGTAGAAAACATTACTGATGTATATTTGTCTCTCATGGATAGAGCCCTGATGGTATAGTGGTCAGGTGTTGAGCTGCGGTCCGCATGGTCAGCAGTTCAAAACCACTAGCAGCCTGCGAGAGAAAGACTGGGCTTTCTACTCCTGTAAACACAGTCTTAGAAACCCTCAGGGGGTTGCTATGAGTCAGCATTGACTCAATGGCAGTGAATCTCTCAAAGCACATTTCCATTAAATAGTATATGTTTATTTCTTAAAAGCTGGATTTTACCAACAAAACAAAACACAGCCAGCTTTTCTGTAACTTAAAAATATTTTTGCCTTAGAAAAATATATTTCATTTTAAATTTGCATAGTTTTGAACATGGCATGTAGTTCTCACATTACATAATTAAGTAGAAGTAGGATAGAGCATAAAATTCCTAACTTCCAACCAAATTATTGTCATTTGTGCTTCTCAAAAGCATACTAGCTACCTTTATGGCTCCTGTTGTGACAGACTTCTATAACACTGCCCTTGAGTAGCTGTATGGAAAAAGCCCCCTGCTGAGGAATGCCTAGCTACAGGGAGCAGATCAGGAGTCCTGCGTCTCTATTGATTAAACTTTAAAAAATAATAACCTTCCAAAATTATATTGAGCTACTGATCTACATGGCCACATATCTTCATCTTAACAGGAGCGAAAAGTGTTCAAACAAGGTAACTGGTGATAGTAGATTAGCTCAGAAGGAGTTTAATCATGGAACCCAGAGTTTTCTTCAGAACTAGCTGGCCTTGCTTGATAAGCGCTGATGTAAACCCTCCCCTAATTTGAAACTGTCTCCGAAGCAGATAAAATAGGACTGAATTTTAAGCTGTGCAAAGGCGAGAATAAGAAATAGCAATAAGCTTTATTTTCATGAGAATGTAAGATTTTGGTATGATTCTTCCAGCAAGGAGGGGAGATACGTTTAGAAAGATTACTTATCTCCATGATGCCTGCTATTGTTGTTGCTAGGTTGTTGGGTATTGTTGCTAGGTGCCTTCCAGTGGGCCCTGTCTCCTGGCGACCTGTGTATAAAAGAACACAGCTGCCCATTCCTCTGTCATCCTCTCCGTGCTTCTTATGTGTGAGCCTAGTCCCCAAGTGTCAGTCCATCTTGTCCAGGTGCTTCCTCTGTGCCACTGCCCTCCACTTCAGCAAGCATGGTGTCCTTCTCCAGGAACTGGCCTCTCTTGATAACATGTCCAAAGTACATGTTATTTCAGATAACTCGTTGAGGGCTTATTTAGTTAATTTTGGAGCTAAGCATGTTACAAGTGGCATTTGCTTTTTATGACCGTCTAACTGACTGATAGCTTAAAAAAAAAACCTATTATAAAGGTTTTGTTTTCAATAGCATTTTATTTCATAAACATTTAATTTTTAAGGGTATATTATTATGAAACATATGGAAATTCTATCATGAAAACCAAACCAACCAACCTAGTCTTGGGGCTAAGGCTAGTTTTTTTCCTTAGAAAAATTAACTGATAAAATAAACTTTTACAATAAACAGTTTCAAGTAGAGATGTGATTTGGATAAGAATACACTGAAATTTGTGTTTCTTTTTATCATCATAATTGGTTCTTTTTCTTTCTTTTTTTTTGGAACCGGAGGTTGGTCTACTGGGAGCCAAAGAAAGGTCCTACTTTCTACATCCCTCTGGCCAGTTTTATCTTTCCCTTTGAATAGATGAATGGCTGTTCCTGCTCCGTTAGCATAGTTACATGAAGTTAAGTAAATGAAGTTTGTTGCACCCACTTCCTGCTTTTGTTTTGCAAAGCCAGAGTAAGTCTGGCGCTCATTGTCTTATGGGGTTATAAACCAAAGCTAGAAAAATGAACTTAATGCAAACACATCTTTTAATTCCAGTTCCAGAGAAAACTGCAGTTGTAGAACTGAATGAATTTAAACGATCTTTTAAATATACTGGTTGTATTCCAGCAATACATACATATAAATTAGGCAAAAGGTCTTTGTGTGTGTGTGTGTCGGGGGGAAGAACAGTGATTTTTAAAAATCTTCAAGACACAACTCATTAGATTACAGAGGAGCCAACCCTTCTGTTCAGGTATTAATGTAACGTTGTAACAGTTACATCAGTATAGAAATCATACTCTTAAACTATGGAGTTGAATTATCTTAAGAATGCGATTTCTATGAATGATTATACTATAAACCAGTTAAGTGAATGCCTGAACAGTAGAATTGCGGACTAGTTATTAAAGTTAGAATTTCACATTCTCAGGAATAATAAAGCCTAATACACTGCATATTGTAGTGACCAACACATTCTTACTTAAGCAATAAATTAATGTATCCATTTTACAATTTTACAAAGGAGGGAATTAAGGACAGAAAAGTTAAGTAAAAAAAAATATATATATATATATTTATATTTGGGGACAAAGCTAGTTAATAGCAATGAAAGTTCAAATTCTCAGGAATTTGTTACTGCTGTGTAAGACATTTTGATTACGTTAACCTCAACAAGGTGTTTTTTCTTGTACACATTCTGGAATGTAAAAACCGATATCAAAGGTTGACAAAGCAGCTTGTAGGGCAGTCGTTGGGTGCAGTAGAGAGGTTCTCCTGGCTGCAGGAGCCGACCAGTACCTGGGCAAGGAGCTACTGGCTACTTGCTAAGCGATTCCCAGGAGGCATTACTAGTCCTGCTTAGCTGCCTCTCTTTGAGCCGGAATCTGACTCTAATTAAAAACAAACAAACAAACAAACAAACAAACAAACAAAAACAACCCAGAAGACAGCCGGCACTGTGCTCAGATGAAGAGAGTATCAAACTTAGAGCCAACAGGAGTGAGGACAAGACCAGCTGAAATAATAACCTTGATCAGCACTGGGGACCACACCCCGTGTCTGGACCTCATTCTCACCTAGAAAAAAATGTTGTAGAGGCATCAGATGTATCCAGTGCTGTCCAACAGGATGGAATGTTCTGCTGTTTGCTAGTGTTTGCACCGTGTGTGTGTGTGTGTGTGTGTGTGTGTGTGTATACTCCTGTAACCTGCCTGCTTCTGTGCCCCCCTGATGTTCGCAGGCATCTTTGGTCCATTGTGTGGCTGTGGTTGTGCTTTTGTTGTGCTTATTGTTTGTTCTTTCCTGAAGATAGATCCAACGTAGGCAACCCGAGCGAGGTCTCCCATTCTGGCTTCTAAGGAGCATTCTGGTAGTATTTCTTCTAAGGATCCTTTTCCCCCCCAGTGCTGAAAGGAGGACCGCTAGACGGTACTTACAGGTTGATCCAGTTTCACTTTCACTGGGGTTCCTCGGATGAACAAGGCTCTGAGCACACGGTGGATAAAAAGATGTACCCTGCCGAGGTAGGAGCTACTTCTTTTTTTCCCCCAGCCTTCCTGTGGAAATTTCCGGTTTCCTTAGAAAATAATACTCTGCCTTACGTTCCAAACAAATGTGATTTTGTGAATTCCACTTAGAGACTGAGCGAGCCAACTCTTACAAAGAGCATTCCTGTTTGCGGCTCCTCCCTTATTTGAGATCTACCCTTAGGAACGGGATCACCTTTCCCAGCCTCCAAAGGCCCCCTTGGCATTCAAAAGTCGAACTGTAGGATCCGGTTAAAATAATTCTAGAAATAAAACGTGGATCTTGCCTCAGAAACTGGCGTTTCTCTTCTCTTCGCCTTGTGCACGGCATCATTTGCTGTTTTGCCAAGGAGGGGTCCTTGAATGAAAACGAAGGCCGCCCGCAGGGTGGAGATGCGTCACGTGTTCCCTTTGCCCAGAATCTGGCCGCAGAGACAATGCCAGTGGACGGAGCAGCCCAGCTGCTCTCTGCGTCCGTCCCGAGTTGATGCGCCTGTGCTCTCTCCGCAGCTGCACCTGGTTCACTGGAACACCAAATACGCGGATTTTGGACAAGCGGTGCAACACCCGGATGGCCTGGCTGTTTTGGGCATCTTTCTGAAGGTTGGTTGGTGACCTCATTCTCTTCAGTTTCACGAAAGATTGTCACAATAAACCAGATATCCTGCAGAAGAGCCCAGGAAATGCCTTTGATCCTTAAATCTCTTCTGTCCTCTTTTCGCCCCCATATTTAACGCGTAGCGGTGGCATGGTGGACAGAAACGCTGTGGGAGAGATGTGTTCGGCACTCTTGGCATGTGGAGGTGCAGGAGATAGAGAGGTCTCGTTTGGACGGCAAATCTTTTCATTCAACCAAACCCTGCCGCCGCTGCGGTTGTTTGGGCCGTCGAATTGGTTCGAACCCAGGGTGATGCTGTCTGTAACATAGAGCCGCCGCCCAGGGCTTCCTTGCCTGTAATCTGCACAGAAACACGTTGCTAGGAGTTTCATTCCTCCGTGCTGCAGCGGGATGGGTTTGTACCACACAGCCACATGCCAACCGGGGACTTTTCACTCACAGCAAAAAAGGACGCTTTCATGATAAGAAAGCAACAAACAAGCCATTGCCTTGCAGTTGATTCGACTCATGGAAAATCCTGTGCATCTTAAGATAAAGTGGTTACGCGTTGGGTGACTATGAGTCGGCATCAGTTTGATGGCAGTGAGCTTGGCTTTTTTTTTAGAGAATGAAGGAAGACAAAAAGGCCCTCGTTTTGGAGAATGTCAGGTTACAGTGGGACATGCAAGTGGCTCTGGCCTCTTACAGTTGTCTGGGGTCTGTGCAAAGGTCTGACTGGGTCATTGGTAACCAGGTGCCTGTGGAAACTGCACATGTCACTTCCCAGGAAGAGCATGGGGAGACTAAGGCTACTGAGGAGGCAGCTCTGAGACACGCCTCAGTGTCTGGCAGCCATTTGAGACAGTAAAAAAGACGCTTAGCAAGCGAATAGAAAGGAGCAAGAGAGTACAGGGAAGCTGAGAGGCTGGGAAGTGTAAGGAACCAGCGTAGGGAATGTTTAACCAGAAGCTAGGCAGTCGTGTAAAATTCGACAGGAAGTTTAAGATAACCACTTGGAGAGTATTTTTTGGCATATGACAGTGGAGGTTAGTGGGGACTTTTGAGAGTTGTTTCTGGGGTGGAACCAGAGGCAGATTGGAGACTCCGTGGAGGTCACAGCATCTGTGGTACCGATGGAATGAAGCAATGGCAGGTGGGTGGCATTCATAAATCGATGGAGTTTGATTGGCTGTGTGGCGAAATGTTATGATAGAGCAAGCCACTCAAATCAAAGTGGACATAGTACCAACTGGGTTATGCTCTTTGGTCGCTTGTGTTTTTCTACAGATTGGCAGTGCTAAACCAGACCTTCAGAGAGTCCTTGACATTTTGGATTCCATTAAAACCAAGGTAAAGGTGAATTTTCTGTTACTTCACTAGCTACCTCTTTCTCATGGTCAAACGTTCTTTTGGTCAAATGGGCTAGTGTCTTTGACATGCAGTATTCACAGAGTAGTACGGCCCTGGTGATCTAATGCATGTACTTTTTCTGTGTTTCTAATCACTTGCAGTTCTCAACCTGTGGGTTGTGACCCCTTCAGGGGTCAAACGACCTTTTCACAGGGGTTGCCCGATTCCTTATAGTAGTAAAGTTATAGCTATGAAGTAGCATCGAAAATAATTTTATGGTTGGGGGGGTCACCACTACATGAGGAACTGCATGAAAGGGTCACAGCATTAGGAAGGTTGAGAGCCACTGACTTAAGCACAGAATCTTAGGGGGGCTGCAAGGAAGCTGAAAGGCCTTTGGGTCCAATTATTGACAACTCATAGAGCCAAAATATGCTGAGTATGGCATGTAAGCCCGTTTGGTAACCCAGGGGACACCAGGATGAGCGAGACAAACAGGACCTTGCTTCGCTAAATGTTACAGTAGGTGACTTCTTGGAGTTCATCCTGTGTTTAAGTCCTTTCATGGCTCTGCTGAGGTCACTGAGCCTTCCTTACAAGCTGCAGTCCCTTCCCATGACAGAGTGAGACTAGAGCTACGGAGGCTGCAGCGCTGCGACACTCCAAGTGTCCGACAGCCATTAGAGACAGTGAAAACGATGCTAAGCTAGTGACTAGAAAGCAAATCACTGCCTATCCTGTACTGAAGCAGCACTGGCTTTCTGAAATCCTCAGACATGACTTCTAGTTTGACCTCTTCGAATCATTTACGATATGATTCCAGATGATCCTAACTCTTCTCTGAATAGCTGCTCGCCCCCAGACTGATTATCTTCAGTTCCCTATAGCTCAGCGGTTCTCAACCTGTGGGTCACGACCCTTTTGGGGGGTGGAACAACCCTTTCACAGGGGTCGCCCAATTCATCACAGTAGCAAAATGACAGTTATGAAGTAGCAACGAAAATAATGTTATGGTTGGGGGTGACCACAACATGAGGAACTGTATGAAAGGTCGCGGCATGAGGAAGGTTGAGAACCACTGGTCTAGCTGTTCTTAAAGGACTCCGTTAATCTGTTTTGGAAACAACCTCGGTGCTCTTCCAGCAGCACGCTCCTGTTGGCCCCTTTGTGTCTGCAGTATCCCAATCCCTCACCAACTGCAATTCTTCCTCTGCCTTGGCTTTCTGAGAGGTCAGCAGGCCCGTCGCTGCCTCATCCGAGTACTCGATTTCTGTTCCTACATCCTAAAATTACATCCTTCAATGGCACCAGTCCTACTTTAAGTACCAGATCTGACCAATTTATGACTTCATGGCACACAGAAGAGATTGTTTTAGAGGACAAGATGGCAAATGGACATTTGAGAATGAGAACTCGGTTTTCTTGCTCTGCCAGTTTATATTTTCAAGTCATATATTTTCTCTTAATTTCTTTCATCGATCCACCAATAACTATGGAAGACCTCAAAAAAAAAAGCAAAGAGCTTTTAGCCTATTAGAATGTGAATATGCTGATTTCTATGACCTTCTTCCCACTCTGGCGATGTGGTGTTTCTAAGCTGTGTGTTTACTTCCTTTTTCAGGGTAAGAGTGCTGAATTCAAGAACTTTGATCCTCGTGGCCTCCTTCCTAACAGCTTAGACTACTGGACCTACCCGGGCTCGCTGACCACCCCTCCGCTTCTGGAATGTGTTACCTGGATCGTGTTAAGGGAACCCATCAGTGTCAGCAGTGAGCAGGTACATTTATAACTAGAGATCTATCGTTTAGACCAGGTAAAACAGGCCATTGGCGTCCGCTGGACCTGGGCTTGAGCCCTCCCTCCGCTGCTCTGACAGCTAGGGGACCTGATGCTACAGGAATGCCAGGCCTTTCTCTGAGTTCTCGGGTTGCTATGACGAAAGGCCACAAGTGGGTGACTTTGACAAACAGAGTGTACTTTCTCACAGTTTAGTAGGGTAGAAGTCTGGATTCAGAGTGGCAGCTCCAGGGGAAGGCTCTCTCTCTCTCTGTCAACTCTGGGAGAAGCTCCTTGCCATCAGTCTTTCCCTGGGTCTATGAGTTTCTCAGTTCAGGGTCCTGAGGTCCAAAGGACACTCTCCACTCTTATATCACAAAAGAGATGGACTCAAGACACAGCCTAAGCCTGTACTGCCTCATTAACACAACCGCCTCCAATCCCGCCTCACTCACATCGTTAACCAAACTCACCATCTCATTAACATCTTAAGCCAAATTTACTGCCATTAAGTCGATTCTCCTCCTATAGGACATGGCTGAGCTGCCTCCGTGAGTTTAGGAGTCTTTAAATCATGATGGGAGCAGATCTCCCAAGGAGCCAGGTAAATAAATGTTGGCTTTGAACTGCAGACCTTGTGGTTAGCAGCCCAGCTTATGAGCCTCTGTGTCACCAGGGCGCCTCCATTAACATCGTACAGGTTCGACATGATAACACATGGGCTCATGACATCAGATCACACAGTGGAGATTAATGACATAAGAAGGAGAAGCAGCCTAACCAAGTTGGTAAGGACTTTGAGGGGAAGCAATTCAATCCGTAGCAGCATCCAACGAATATTTCTTGTTAGTAACCAGTGTGCCTTAGGCGGCTTTTTTAGTCTATATCATTGGATATTCTCCGCTTGGACTATGTGAGAAAGGTGTCTGTCACCCCATAAATACAGTTTTGTGACCTATGATGAAACCGAGGCCCAGACAAAAGAGATTTCACATCCCAGGTTACACGGGTATCCGTGATAATTTCTGGCCCATTACACGCTCACATCAGCACTCCCTGCAGTTTTATTTCTGTTGGATGTGTCTCTGAATTCTAACAAAGGCAATAATCATCCCTTGGAGAAAGATCACGTAGTAAAAACCCGTTCTGGGCTGCTTTCGAGGCTTCTCTCAGACACTCCTATATTTAATTCGCACTGTGGTCTGCGGCGTCCAGCTGGTGAGCATGCACAGAAGTGGGTGTAGACAAATTTCTCCTAGACGATCTCCAGCAACATGCCATTGGCATGTAGGAAATGCACATTCCTTGGAGGATCAATGTGATCTGGGACCCTGGGAAACTTAGGGTGATTTATACCTATAAATAGAGCTAAAACCTTTGGAATCAAAGACGTTTAGAGCTGGAATGTAAAGGAGAGACCACCATGTTGTCTGACCTTTTCATTTTGTGGATAACCCGTCTGAGGTACAGGGAGACCCCTATTCCTGTGCTGCTTCTGATTTCACTTAGAGGATGAACTTGTGACCACCAGTCTTTTACACCTGCCTTTAAACTAAAGCTACTCACATGAAAACTGACTTCAATTTTTATTTGCAAACATGACCCAAAGAAAACTTGTCTCACCTGATTGGGTATGTGAATTGAAAATTAATCTTCTAGTTATAAAGTACTTGAACAGTCTTCTTGAAGCAGTAGTATGAAAAAAGAGGCTAATGCCACTTCTTATTTGTAAATAGTTTCGATCTAAAGCACAACCATTATTCTTTCCTTCCTGTACTGGGTGCAAACTAACTTTGAGCTCCATAGGCTGACACGGAAAGCTGCCCCAATGAGCAGATTCATTGTGTATATGCTTCCTGCCCCACCCCCCACCCCATCCCACCCCCAACACACTTCTCTAAACTCACGGCCATCTAGTCTAGCTTCTACATAGACCCTGCTAATGCCACCCATTTGGCGTACTTCTGTCATAGACACATTCGATAAATAAGACTGTCACATCGAGCATTTATGACCTATGTAAATCTGCCCCCCTAGGGGTTCAGGGGAGATCAGATAGCTATTAATGAGGAGAGGGTGGAGGTGGGAGGGTGGTTGGTAGGGAAGCAGTAGAAAGGGGTCTGCGACATTTTGCCACTTTCATTTTCTAAACTCACGATTCATATCACTGATGATAAAATAATGAGCCAACTTTATCACTGTAAGACTGTGATTCACTTGGCAGGATAAGGAGTAGAAATCAGTCATACTGGCTTGGTTAAAAAACAGAAATTTTATCTGATGACATTTTATAAACAGATCCAAAGTCTTAAAGATTCTTGGGGTTCTGCTTAAAAAATTAACCTCAGGATGCCACCCGAGATTTTTCTCGAATTGCACAGAAATAGTCATATATGTTACTGTGCTGACATTTACTTTCTAAGAGACCTGATCTGTCTGCATAGGACAGGCTGGATGAACAATCTGGAGGAGAAAACAACGGGACTGACACTTCCGGGGGGACATGGGAGAGGGGGAGGTGGGGGGAAGGGAAGAGGTGTTAACAAACCCAGGACAAGGGAACAACAAGCGATCCAAATTGGTGGGGAGGTGGGTGTGGGAGACCTGGTAGGGCAGGATCAAGGGGAAC